GTCTCCCGGTATATGTGTTAGTGTAGTGCATGTAAGTGTGTGTAGGTAAAGGGGGTGAGAATATTGTAAGAGACAAGGAAGAAGATGGAAAAATCACGCTCGGTCCGAGGCCCGTTTGCTATGGTACTATTCCGGCATTCGCTTGGTACTGATCGGAGAAACCACGGAAAACTACCTATCAGAGCAGCCGGACGCTGCAAATCTCCTCCAGATACCAGTTGTAGTATTCGACCTAGCTGACAAGCTAGTGTCGAAAATCCTGCCACAGTCGACACATGAACCCTAGGACCTCCAGGTCAGAAATACTGCACTGTTTTCATCTGATACCCTGAGCCTCCTAAGCTGGTTGTAGGGTGATGTATCCTACCTCTCACCATGCGTCACCCTTCCCATGATCCCCATTTGCTTCCGACCTGTTCGGGTGGTGTGGGAGCCGGCGCTAGAGGCTGTGCGCGCGACGCCCTTCAAGAGTAGTGCCTGCCTTCCCACCAAAACAGTGTGGCGCTGGTAACACCAGGAGGCCATACGGAACACAGTGCAGCGCTGCCTAGGCGTAGTATCGATGCCTCCACAGACTAAATAGCGGCTGGTGTGTGGGGGCTTCGAGGCTACATGAGCATGGGTTATTAAAAATACACCGAATGAGCGTATCCCCGGGCCACTTCCGTGTGCGAGAGGGCGATTCGTGCTGAGCGCCAGTGTGGCCGCGCCTGAAGGCGAGGTGGCTGGCCTGAGGCCGCGGGTGGACGAGTCCGAAAAGATCCAAATGAAAGAAGGCTTGGGCCCAGCCACCTAAGCACTGGTTGCTCCCAAGAGGTAAAGAGGACAGGTATTCATCCTATTATTCCAACTGTTGAAAAACCTGCACCAATATTCAGTTAATCTTCTCGCGCCACATTTACTCGGATTGTGGTTATGCAGAACATGAATTCTACCTCCTACTATATGTTATGAATTCCTAAAAAGACGTCCTTCACATTTATGGGTATTCGCATACGTTCAAAAATGTTGCAATGTATGAATACGAAGAATTATTTTTGTAAGACGTTCTGTTAAGAATTTAATATATCTAAAGTATCACACACGTTCTTGACTTCCGAAACCCCTATTGAAAATAGATATATTAAAATATTTCTCTCGAGAGACGATCTCATCTGCTCAATTTGATGTAAGTGAATGCAGATAATAAAGCAATCTATTGAAATATGCAGAAGCTAATAAAAATGCTTCCTGAACACAGTAAGCGATTTTGCAATATATCAGGATACCATTACCGTCTTTACACACACACACACACACACACACACTTCAAAGTTACTGAAGTTTAGTTATCTCAGAAGACTACATGAATATTTAAAAGCGGGCAAATTCGCCACACATTGTTCTTGCAATTTAGTATCAAGAAACGTGCAAGTCAAAATCCAAATAAGTTTTATGTAAAATTTTGGTTATATTTTTAAAACTATATTTTGTATTATTACGCAACAAATTGCCGTTATATTAAGTAATTAAAGTGTTAAAGAGATTACCGTGGATGTTCCAAGTGTTACTGATATCTTCCGTAGATAATAACTTTACTCGGTCTTCAAACTTCCTGCTCTTAGCTGAGAGCAAGAAACTTTGATAAGCTCACAACATTAATTTTAGTATCTTATTAAGACGCTTCTTTCCAGTTTGACTTCTAATTCTACACCATGCACATCTTTTTTCTTCCAAGACCAATTATATGAAATCGGTTGTCAAAAGATTCATTTGTTTGATAGCGAGAAAAATTAGTCAGAGGAGGACGCAATAGCGAAATGGAAGACAAGGCAAAAGTGTTGATAACAAGAAAACCAATGCATTCCATTCAGTGCATGACAAATACTCACGACTTTGAATATTCCGAACCCTCGGTTATAGCAAACTGATATCACGGTTCCGACCCACATACAGAACAAATAAACACTAGACAATTCGTTTTTTGTGAAATCCTAACATCGTATATAGTGAATATATTTAATACACTTTTTAGAAGAAAGACTATCATTTACGTACATTCGTATAATATTACTGATCTGAAGTTAAAAGGGGACTGAGGAAATCTTTTCACTGAGGGAATTACTCATCAATTGCAGATCTGTCCAGCCCGGAGTCTTCGTGAATGTGTAATCGTAATCGTGCATGTGGTGAAAGGGTCCTTCAGAACAGAAAAAAATGAAGATTGAATAACGTGATGACGAAGATACAAAAATGAAGAGAATGTACCAACAGTGCAATGGTAATTGAATGGTATTACGCTACGATATTTAATGTGTGAAAAGTGAAAAATAAAACGTGAAGAAATCAAAAAGATATCGACATTTGAATTCGTAATTATTGGATATTTTACTGCATCTATGAAATAATAAAACCAATCACGGTTTTGTTAAACATTTGTATTTTATTTTGGAATCATCGTTAGTGACTCAAAATCTTTAGAAGATCAATATAACAGGTGTCCATTTTACTTTTATAAATAACAAAATGAAACTACGCGATAGGCGAACGTATATTCAAAATTGTTGACAAGAGAGCTTTTAAAAATAAATGATTGTTTTAGATCCTACTTATCCATCAGAATAAATAAAGCACTATTATTGCAAATGTAAAATATTAATAAAATGTCTATGACAAACCATTGACCTTTAGAGCAGCATAACAATTAAATACCGCCTTTTAAATTTAATTTTCGACAAACACAATTTTGTAAATATTTCAGTACTTTTAAACAATGTTATGAGACAGTTCTTGCCGATTTATTTGTCTTAAAAATCCAGCGTGAAGTTTTTCTGCAGTGATAATTTCCTTTCAAATCTTAATCAACCCTTCTTACTATTGTATTTGCTAAAAAATGTTAAAACTTAAGCAAAAAACTATATCTTTGGTGACCTTAGTGTTCTGAGATGTATTTTATTTGTTTTCAAGAAAATTAATATGTTAGATGTTTATTGGGTGTTCCTTTACCTATAAACTAATTTCACCATGTTATATCAGGTGGTCGGTCTTAAGTCGTAATCTCGGTTTCGCGTTCCACTTGTAACGCGAAATATATTTTTATGGTGTAATCGACATCTTATCGGACGAATTATTACATTTTTGGATACAACCATCAACAGTACGTTAGTAACAGTACGATGTAAGATATCCCAACTACAAAAATTGAACGGTATTTTTAATCAAAGAAAAATATATCATACCATTTGTAACCAAAAACTGGAGGAGAGAATTCAGTCAATTTATTTTATACTAGCGGTCTGCAAAAATGCTGCTCTCGGGTGGAGAGCAGTGAAATTTGGCTGTTCTCAAAAGGTTTTGAAACGCCACAGTGAAAACTGAACCGTCTTCCTTCCTGCCGCATGAAGTCGCTGTGTCGTAAGCAGTGACCCACTGAGTGAGAGAAATCACATCAGTCAGCGAATCATCAGATGTGAGAAATTGCGGATTAATAGAAACAAATATTGTCATTTTTCAGTCAAAATCGAAACTGTTTAATTGTTTTTACGTTCTTTTTTCAGGCTTCCTTGATATGTAACGAAACCGTTGGCACCTCGCACAAAGAGAGTTATATGCTTTTCCGTCAATATCTGTGTACATTCAAAATTAGTAATACAGATGTCTGCAGTCAGTTTATTACATTATCTGATTAATACATACCATCGATATTTTCCATCCGAATGATATTTTGAAAGGATATAATTTTCTTGAGATGTGAAGGAGAAGAACATGGTCTTCAGTTATTCTACTTAAAAATGATGTTTTCATTTTCAAAGGAGAATAAATGCCAATGCTTTTATATAGGCCGGTTTATTGAAAAAGAATTCGAGTCTTGAAAAACATCTTATAATTAATCCATATTTAACATTGGGATTTTTACATAGTTCGATGTACATACCCCACAATACATCAATCTCTATTCGATAAAACTGAGAACCTTTTGTAAATATTTACAATTGCTTATTATTGTTTGCTGAAGAAAATTACTCGTTTAATTTAAAGTAAAGAGAGATGTAAAACAAATGCAAAATCAATGAATCGTCAAAAGTAAGCGCTTCGCTATTCGTTACGTTTGAGAATGGTAGAAACTTGGAATGTATATTTTTTCTGGGCACAATAACTATTCGTGAATCTAACGAAAATTAAAATATAGTAATGAAAGAAATATATTACTATATAAAACGGAGAAATTGTAATGAATGGACTGTGTATTGGATTACAGTGTACATAAATTGTGTTTTTTAAGAAATAAGTCTTTAAAAATTAGGTTTTTACTATATTTATGAAAGTACGCCCCTCCCTTTGTAACAGTTTGTATAATAATAATAATAATAATAATAATAATAATAATAATAATAATATGAATATATGATATGTAAAGTAATTAATATAGAGGAAACTGGTTAGAAAAGAGCTGTAATTTTGGCAGTGAATATATAAATGACATCCGTCTGTGAACCGCACAAAAGTCTGGTTACTCCATAACATAATCTTCATACGTAGAGATCAAGAAAAAAGTTCCATGGAATTATAGTGTACACAAACAGCGCAAATGTAAAAGAAATGCACGAGAGGAAATTGATCAATTGGCACTGGTGATAAAATATGATTATCGTATTCCTCGGCACATCATGTGAGAGAGAAATGCAATAGTTAAGATTCATGCATATAAAAGTTTATCAGAATTCATAAATCTCTGGAATTCTAAAATGTTTTAATAGTAGAACATAAACATATATTATGGCAGAAATGAAGCTGAATGCGCTCAGTAGAGTTCCTAACTGCAGATCATCAAACACATTGTCTTCAATACCAAAGACGAAGCGACAATGAGTTGCCGAGAAACTACAAAGTTCTGGCGAAGAATATGTCCTTCGTTTTAGACGTACACCTGTTTGTCGAGGGCAAGCTCACGAGACCGAGAAGACAAGGAGTCAAAGAGTAGGCTGTCGAAAGGCACGCGCCTTGTGCACCCGGTGACTCACCTTGAAGACCTCCCAGGTAGCACTGAAGGGCAGCACCGCCACCCCCACCATAAGGTCGGCGACGGCCAGCGACACGATGAAGAGGTTGGTGACGGAGCGCAGCTTGGAGCTCATGAAGACGGCGGCGATCACCAGGCAGTTGCCCACGATCACCATCACGTTGATGACGGCGAGCACGGCGAGCGAGGCCAGCAGGCTGGGGTCGTCCCACAGCACGTCCTCCGGGCGCGGCGAGCACAAGTCGGCGGCGGGGGTGGCCGGCGGGGACGCCAGCAGTGACGCGTTGGCCCTCGGCGGCGGCGGTGGCAAGCGCGGACGCTCGGAAGCTCCGGCCGGCGTCCGGGCCCGCCGCGGCGGCGTCAGCATCCCCGCGGCGGCGGGGCGGGGGTGGCGGCGGGCGGCGGCGGGCGGGGGCGGCTTAGTGCGGTCCGGCGCCGCGCGGCGCGCTCGCCGGCGCGCCGCCCGCCCTGCATCTGCGCCCGCGGGGGCGACCCGCTGCTCCTCGCCTGCCCGGCTGCGCGCCCGCGCGGCTGCGCGCTCTGCCGCCCGCGCCGGGCGACACCTGGCGGACGCCTGGCGCACGCGACCCGCACGGACGGGTGTTCCGCAAGGTCCCTCGGCCTGGCACTGTTCACTCGCAGTGTTCCTAGTTGGTGGTGAACACTCCGTCAAAATCACTCGGTGTTTTCTTCGGGGAGGTGTATCATACCTAATAGACTAGCTATTTTCGATTTGTTCTTTATTCTTTGCGTAAACGTACCCAATTTCACGAGTGCTAATGAAACTTCCGAACCAAGACTAGAAATAGACACTGTGTAAGAAGCACTTATCGATTCTGTTGGGGAAATGCTGTTCACCCGATGAAAACAGAAATTGCTCAGTATTGATGTACGTGTGAATCACGCGTTTCAATAATGAAGTCCGTCAGTTGGAGAAAACTATTCGGCGATACCGTCACATACACACAGCGATCTTGATGAAACCCACAGCTGCAAATTCGTCACTTTTCTTTGCGGATAATCTTACTCAAAGTCTTGGCGGGTCCGTGAGTCTCATGGCTCAGACGGTCCTAATAAGTATCAGCCATTGTATTTCTTGTTGTTGAAGTATGAATGAGAGGGACTCTCACTCAAGAAGGCATAGTGATTCTGTTGAATTATGTCAGTCAGTAGGGCTATACCTATCTTCATGTGCAGTCTTCTTGAGAATAATTCAAAGAATATATTCCCGAAATATTAATACGTTCACTGCTAAAGGATCGTCTAATAAAATATGAGGGAAACTAACTGGATTTCTCGAACTCTTTCTCAATGAAAGGCACCGTGGAAATGAAATCTGACGACTTAAACTTTTGATTTCTCACACTCATACGATGTTTTGTAGAGTGCTGATCCAAATGTACGACCGAGTAGATGTGATCATAATAAAAAAAAATCAATTTATATCTTGCATTCAGTCGTCACCGGAGCTTACTATATTGAGACACACATCGAGGAGAGTGTATTTATTGCATTGCGCAAGTCCTCCGGATATGAGATTTAGTTTGTGAAGGGTTTCTTCTGGAACCTAACAGATTCTGACACGAGGCTATTTCAAGATTAAACTTTTGCAGCGGTATCAAGAGCAGGTGTGCAACAAGGTCTGCTCTTTCTCCTCGCTTCTGGGGCTGCGCTAGGCACCGCCGCGGGCGACGGCGTAAGATCCGGCCTCGGAGTGGAGATTCCGGCGGTGTTCTTTGTGCCTAATTCCCTTTGTGCCTTTTCCCGGGGAATCTGTCGTCACTGGCGGGTCGGAGGCGAAGGAGAAGCGAGGGGCGGCAACGGGGGTGTCCTGCCCCTGGCGGACTGCTTCCTCTAATCAAACGCGAGTTCCCGTCGCGCGTCTCAGCCCCTGGGGGGTGCCGGCATTTGCATGTGGCAGCGCGGGCGGCAGATTGCAGTCGCGACGGAGCGACAATCTCCCCGACTCCCGACCGCCACGCTTCGCCCCCGACTCGGAAACTTCGATGGAGAAAGACGCCGCCGGCTGCGACCCGAAGATCGAGCACCTAGTTTCTTGCGGAAGCGAGTTCTTCACGCGATTGGACACGAAAGAACGGAGTCGAGCAACGTCAATTTCAGGGAACGACACTTCCGGCTGGGAAATCCTTTTCACATCACTGGCGTCGTGCGTTTTCAAGAGTATCGCACACAACGAGATCGTTAAGGGTTGAATCGGCGGGGGCAACACTCGGAGGCGGGAAGGGCTCGGGTTGCCGGGGCACTGGCGTCGCTTGCAGCGGAGCGCTGGCGGGCGCCTTCCGGGAAGGCGCGGAGCGCTGGCGCCGTGCGGGGGCGGCCAGCGCCGGGCGCGTGGCCTGAGGCTCTGGAACGAGATGCGGCGGGCGCTCGTCGGCAGGCGTTCACCCGGGCCCGTGGTTGCTAACCAGCGACCGCGGCACTGTCCGCTTCCACGCACGCAGAGCAAACGCACAGCGATTCAACGGATCGACATCCCACCCGCATATGTTCCGGCATTCGGGATACATTTTTCAGAACCAGGTGAACGTGGACCCTAATTGTATAGCAGACACACTTTTCTATATTCAACGAGTATTTTGGTAGTATACTATATTCCCTGAGATAACTAACTTTTTGATTTGAATTGAATGCGGTAAATAACACAAAATAAAACTAATCGACTCTGCCCTAACTGTTCGAAGAAAATCAACTGCTCCTCTTTCCGTCGGCTTCTTACAAAAATAACGATTTCACTCCCTGTGGCGGCGGCGTGGGGCGGGCGCAGGGCGGCGCGGCGGTGGCCGGCGCGAGCGGCGCTCGGCAGCGCGGGGGGGGGGGGGGAGGGGCAGGATGTGTGGCCGTCGGGGGCGTCGCGGCGTCGTCGGGCGGCGGCGCGCGGGCGGGCGCGGTGCGCAACACCTCGCAATCGCCCGGCGCCGGTTGGGCGGTACGCGACGCGGACCTAGCGCAGGCGACGACCCTCCCGTCGGACGCTTTTCCGGAACCGACCGCCGCCGCGTCATATTTTTAGTGGAGGCTCGAGCAGCGTGCGAGGTTGGCGCGGATGAGGGTGGAGGGGGAGGGGCGGGGCAGTGGGGGGCGCGGGGATCGATAGGTAAATGGGACACCGGCAGCGCCCGCGACCGCCCTGCAAGCTGACCCCGCAGCACCGGGGCGCGACAGAGCTGCGAGGCGCCCTCTAGGAGCACGCCCCACTGGCGTCGCGCGGGCTGACTAGGCTGGCAGGGGGTGGGGGCGGGCCGCGAAGAGGCCCCTGGCCGCGCTGCTGCGGGTCCGATGCGTCCCGTGGCCCCTCGCAGATCTTCGCCGCGGAGCGCTGGCTGCCGCCCCGGCGATTGCACAGGTCGCGCGTACGCGTCATCGGGAGCTGGGACGACGGCAGGGCGGCGGCGGCCGCTACTTGCGGGGGAGGCGAGTAGTGCGGCCGGGCGGGGGCGGGCGAACGGCGGGCGATTGCAGCCCGCGCGCCGAGCTACGACCCGCCGCCGCCGGGCGTCCGCGCGCTGCCGGCGACCGCCCGCTCCGCCATCGCCCGCGCTCACCCGCCGCTCACAGGCACCGCCCTCGGCCGCCGCCCAGCCGCCCTCCCTCCCCCGCCGCCGCCGCCGCCCCCGCTGCGGCCCGCCCGACGCCGTCACAGCGCCGAGCGGCCCGACCGCGCGCCCTCGAAGCCTCGTGGGAGGTCAGGAGGCGCGGCGCAGCCTGGCGCGATCCTCGGCGGCGCTGGAGCTGCTACGCGCCGCATCGCTCTACGGCAGCTGTGCGGCGTCCTCCCCTGTGGACAGTCAATGCGGCCGATCGCAGTTGGTCCCCCGCCACGGAGGGGCGGGCGTGGAGGAGAGGCGCGGCGCACCCTGCAGCGGCTCCGCCGGGCTGCGGTGGCGGGACATGACGACGCGCCGCCAAGCTGGAGCCGCGCCGCGCTTCCGCTTGCATTCGGCGCGCGGCTACGAGGCCGGGGCGCGCGGCGCGGGCGCGGGGCGGGGACGGGCGGGCCGGGCGGGCGCCCGGGAGGCGCGCTCGCGGTGCGCGCTGATCCTCGGCGACCGTACCGCCAGCGCAGCGGGCGAGCCGACGCAGACGCGAGCGAGCGACGGCACGCGCGGCTCGGGCGACGATCAGCGCGACTGCTGTGCCACTGAGCGCGCGCGTCCGCGGCGCGCGCGGATGGATCGGCGTCATGGGGCGGCGTCGGGCGGTGAGTGCCCGGCGGCGCGCCGCCCGGCCCGGCCGAGCCAGGCGCCGCCGCCCCGCCCAGACGACTGCGCGCGCGACGCGCGAAGCACCAAGAGGCCGACCGCAGTGGCGCGAAGCTTAGGAACGACGTATTGCTTTGCCAACTTAATTAAATATTTTAACAAGAAGTTTCGCTAATATTGATATAACACAGTAAAGTTCAAATGAAATTTAACAAATGCTTAAAGGAAAAAATTGCTATTAATCAATGCAACACGCGAATAGCAAATATTTTTTTTCTATTTCTGCTTCATTCGCAATTTGTTCTAAAGGAACATCAAACATTTAAACCGCTGATGCAATAAACGACGGCCGAATACCTTTACAAAAATCGGGCTAGAAGAGGGAGGTAAAATATTGTCCGAGTGAAATTAAATTACTAGTACTTTATTCAGAATCCCACGTAAATCGCATTTGTTACAGCTTATAAAAATGTAATATTTTATTTATTTGAAAGTTTCTGAAGATTAAAATTTTGCATTTTTCACCGAGAACGCTTACCGTCTAATCTAAAAAATTCGAATATTTTCAATTCTTAGAATGTTTATTATTTCTCCAGAATACAGGTCGCATCTCTTCACAATTTCTCCATTCCATTAGAAATAACGATAAAAAACAACAAATTCCTGTAAGTAAGGACTATTAAAAGTTTTTTCTATCTTCCTCGCAACGATTCTCGTTTTGTGGAAATTATTTCTTTTTTTATTGTTTTACAAGTGAAAATATAAAAAGCCGTTTTCGTTCTAGATACCTAGACGACACAAATATTCCATGAAGAAATTTCATAAAATCATGCGTCTTCGTTCCGCGAAGACAGAAAGGAACATTAGCCTACTGAAAGCTACTTCAAAGCATAAAGACATTGTTAAATAATGAATTCTTAGAAAATGAATCGCGGGTATCTTTGCTAAATTCTGAGTTCTTGGACTTTGGCGCTTGCTAACATTGGTTGCGTAGGCTTCGGCGGCCGGAGTTCGTGTTGTCTAGGTTATCCGGGACGAACCGCGTCACTGACATGGTGGCTAACGTTTCGGCCAGTGTATTGTGGTCTTCTTTAGAGCGTACTGCGCTTGCTAACATTATTTAATCCCCGTATGTATTGAACATTAC